GGAGATGGAGGAGGGAAGAGCAGGAAGAGGGAAGAAGGGGTTGTGTTTGGAGGTACGTGTGCATGTTTGTTTGTTCGGTGGTCTCTAAAGGGTCGTGTGCGTCTGTGCTGTGTGTGTGTGTCTGTGTGTGAGGGGGGAGGATGAGGAGGAAGAGGAGGAGGAGGAGGAGTCCCGAGGATGGGGACGAAGAGGAGCCGGTCGAGTAGGAATCTGACAACCATTCGACCTCCCTCCCTAGGGATGGGCTGTCGAACTTCCGCTTGAGCATGTTCCTGTTGGACGTGTACATCACCTGTGCTCTTCTCGATCCTCGGTCCTCCTCCAAGGCCTCCTGGCTTCTCCTCTTCCTCCTGGTATGTCTTCCTTGCCCCCACCCTCAAACTTCATCCTCCACCTCCCCCAGCGCCTCCCCCTCCTCCTGCTCCATACCCCCCCCTTCTCCCCCTCCCCTGCCTCTCCACCTCATCCCGCTTCCCTCCACCTCCCCCTCTGGAGCTCTACGGAAACCTCTCACGGCCATGTAGGTGTCAGGACAATCATACACAAGAAAACTCCGAAGACCTCCTCCTCCTCCTCCTCATGCTCCTGCTCCTCCCCAGACATCCGGCTGCTCTATGTTTTTGTTGCTGCGGGGGCCCTGGAAGTCTGACCACTTCCCTCGGGCAACTTGCTTTGAGCATGGACCAACCGTCCTGGTATTTCTATAGGTCTACTACGAGACGCTCTTAGAACCAGTGGATTGCCTAAAAACAAGAACTATGTTTCTGGAGTGCCCGCTGTATAAAAAAAAAAAAAACACAATACAGTCTCAACACGAATTGTTCCAATATGATTTCGCGCGAAACACAAACGGTTCTTAGAACATTCTTTCGTGGGCCTATAGGCAAGCCAAGACGCCTCGGCACTGCTCGACTATTCGTCCTGACTTTTTTTTGGACGGTCCCGAGGCCCATGGAGGGCCCCCGAGAGGCCGAAAACAGCCAAAAGCCGCCCGCTCCAATTTTGGGGAGCGGCGGATCTCTGGGTCCTCTTGCTCCTGCTCCTGCTCCTCCGTCTCCCCCATCTCCAATGAGGTCGAGAGCGACGGCACCGTACAGGAGTCCCCAGATGTTCTCGAGGGCCGGCAAGAGGTCCAGAAGCAGCCACGACACTGACGGGGCCCAGCGACACACAAATTAAAGATGCACAGATCCCAGGACGTTCCTTATTAGTTGCTGGACTTTCCTCTTTCCCTCCATGTCCCATACTTCCCTTGGAATCGACGACTACTTGTGTCCGTGTCTTCTCCTCCTGCAACACCCCCCACCTCAAACCTCCGATGTCGCATCATCCTCAAACGCTCCCCCCGCACACCTCGCCCTGCGCCTCCCCCGCGAAAAGGCACCGAGACCGCTGCTCGTAGGACCTCTCCCGGGGTGCAGTCTGACCAGAATTCCGAGCAGAATTCAGGCGTGGCCACAAGGCCTCGCCAGGACGAGCAGCGGCAGCGGTATCGTTTCCTCCCCTGCTCTTGCTCCTCCTCCACTGCCGTCTTTTCCGAAGAACTCGATCCGTCAAACCCTCGATCCTCGAACGTTGCCTGCACCACAGCCGCCACGCGCTTCGGCCAATGCGACAGCGCCGCCTGCTGCAGGCAGTACAGCCGCCGGTTGTCGTACGTGAACCACCTGGGGATCCTGTTCCTCCCCCTCCTCCTCCTCCTCCTCCTCCTCTTCCTCCTCCTCCTCCTCCTCCTCCTCCTTCCCCATACTCAGGCATGGCACCCCTCCTCGCAGTCACAATGCCCGTCTGCTGCTCCACCTCGACGGGAACCAGCAAAAAGACTGCTGGCGGCTGCGACCCGTGTGCTGTGTGAGGCGTTGAGTGGAGAGTTGACTCGAGTCGAAGAGAGTTCGGACGTAGGGACCTCGCCTTCGGTTGCCTTTCCTGACCGGTCGAGCGTTGGATCAACAAAGCAGACAAGTTTGACAACTACTTCACGTTCGACAGTTGCCGCGAGTACTTCCCAGATTACCTCGTCGGACTCCCGAATCGGTTCTCTGTCTACTCCTGCGGCCACGAGCGGAATAATGGCGACTACCTCGGGTACTTGCAATAACGTGTCAGGGACCCCAATAGTACTCACGCTCTCTGAGCCCTAAGAAAGTCGGCGACGATTTCGCCGGCGAAATGTGTCATCATTTTAATGTTTGCCGATTCGCAACATTCCAAACACCACGTGCATGCTTTCGGGTGCACAGGCGCGAGCCCGCATTCTTTGCGGATTGCGCATTTTCTACGAACGCGCACTCATGTAAGCTGTTCCACCTGTTTCTGCCCTTCCATCTGTCTTCCTCCTCCGACTCCTGCTGCCTTACTCGCCGCGTGGCGCCGACACGCTTCCATTGACACCTCGCATCGTGGGAAATATCTACGCGTGCGCCCCGTGGCTTATTTTGTCCTGCTCGAGCCTGCGGTCACTGCTCAACACCGGGGCTGTGGCTTAGAGCAGCGATCTGACAATCTCGACTCGCCTCCTTCCTCCTCCACCTCTTCCTCTATACTCCAGATTTCGTAATAAAAGGGAGGGGGTCTGGACCCTCCAAGGCAAGCCATTTCAGACCCCCCCCCGTGGGAGAACCCTCCAAAACATCGTCCTCCAAGATAGCCTGGAAGAGACCCCCCCCCCGAAATGAGACCCCCCTCCCTTTATTACGAAATCTGGAGTACCTCCTCAGGGGCGTCTGGGTGCGACGCGTTGGCAATGTCGCGGCGGAGTTCCGGCCGCGTTTTCAGGACAACCTTCGAACAACGGTCTACTTCGACGGTGGTGTCATCTCTTGCGTGCACGGCGGCATTCACGCTGCCCTCTCCTGCGCGCCGAAGGCCTCTGCACCTGCACGGCTGGCCAGCAGGGACATGCGCTGGAAATCCCACCAGCCCTCTGGGCGGAGGTGGTTTGAATCGTTTCCTCGTTCAACCTGGGTTATCCCCTTCGGGGAGTGGTCTCCCCCCCCCTCCCCCTGGGTCTGGACCAGGGATGCGGGGAGGCGTTCGTGCGTCCAAGATGACCCAATATCGCCTCAATATGGCCTGAGAGAGACTTCAGGATGGCTTCCAAGATCGCATAAGATATTTGAAGATGGCTCAAGATGGCCCCGAACATGCTCCAATAGGCCCCAAGACCCTCCCTAGATGGCATCAAGTGGCCACGGAGCCCCCCCGGGAAGCCCCCGACGCGCCCAAATCATTCCAAACCTGGAAAAAACAGTATTGCTGCATTCGCGCCTTTTCGCGTCCAGTGGGTTCCCGAGGCCTCAAGATGGCTCCAAGATGGCCCAAGAGAGCTCCAAGAGGGGCCAAAGATGGCTCCACGACGGTCCCAAGAACGCCTCAGAGCGCCCCATGAGCGCCCCAAGAGATCCCCAAATGACGATTTGGGGAGCTCCAGAAGGGCGACGCTGTTAGGCCTCCCCCCCCTCCTTTGATCGAGATCATCCAAAACGGCCCCATGAGCCCCCCCCCCCAGGCCTCCATCATTGCCCCACGAGGCCCCCAAGAGGACTCCACGATGGTTCTAAGAAAGCTCGACATGGCCCCGAATGGCCTCCAAAATTGCATTACGTATCCCGAGACGGCTTCAAATGGCCACCAAGAGCGCGCCAGGCTTCTCGCCACCGCAGCCGTGAGGACACCGGCGGAAAACCGCCGACGATGCTCTGCAATCGATGGCAAGACCAAAGACGCAAATCCACGGCAATGTCCCACGCAGATGCTCCCGCGACCCATGCTCCAACTCGTCGGGCAGTCTCCGGCCGGCCGTTGGAGGCCCCGCAGGGGGCCGACAGTTTTCGGGGCAAGGGGGGGGGGTCCGAGGAGGTGCCGGGGAACATTGGCGCACCTCCGGGCGTGCCGAGCCCTCCGAGAACCGCGAGGCGTTCGGGCCACGCCGCGCGGCGGTTCCCCTCCAGGGGGAGGGGCCTTCAAGGAATGAAGGGAGAGACGGGAGGAGGGGCGATAGGATTGGAGGAGGGGGAGGTGGGGGGGAGGACGCGTGGCTCTGGGTTTGGGGAAGTGGAAGGAAGGCGAAGGAAGAGATAGGAAGAGAGGGGAGGAAAACGACGGAGGAGGAGGGTTTGAGAAGGCTAGCGGCGGAGGGGGAGGAGGAGGAAGGGGGGGGGCCGGGGGAGAGAGGCGCAAGGAGGAGAAGGACATTGAAAGCCAAGCCAGACTGTTGTTTGTTCCGTCGTTCGTGGCTCCACGACGATCAAACGAGAACGGCTGGCATCCCCTGGCGCCTCTCGGGTGCCTCTTGAAAATCGTTTGGGCCTGTCGCGCTCTTTCCGAGCCCGTCGACACCTTCCGAAGGCGCCCTGGCGACGGGCGGGGGCCCCACGAGGGGTCCAAAGAATGCCCCGAGAGGTAGCACCAAGCCTGCACATACTGTGTGCCTATTTGGGGGGTCCTCCCATTGGAAACCCCTCGGGACCCCCTTCGGGGCCTCCGAGAGACTCTCTCGGGGCCCTGTCGCGAACTCTCCGAGCCCTTCGCCGCCCACCCAAAGTTACCCTGGCGCCACGAAAGACTCCCAGGAGGAGCCGCAGACGGGGGGGTCAAAAAGAAACAGAAGCCCGCGGACCCTCTGTGCCTCCTTCGGGGCCCCTCTTGGAAGCCTCTCGGAGCCACGTTGGGGGCCTCGTGAGACTCTCTGGGTGCCCGATCGCGCACCTTTCCGAGCCCCTCGGCGCCCCGCGAGGGCGCCCTGGCGGCCCAGGGGGCCCCGGCGAGGAACCCCGCATGGATCCCGTGAAGAGGCAGAAACAACCAGGCGCGCCGGTTGAGGGGGGCAGCGGGGACGGAGGGAGGAGAAGAAGAGGAAGAAAGAGAGGGGGAGGCCACTGCGCGCCGTAGCTGCAAAGCGTTTTTTCATAGGCGCGTGCCTTTCGCGCCCAACGACTCCCGCCTGCGCGCGAATGACATATTGCCCGCTCGTGGCACGCGGTATGCACCCGCGCGCACTGGAAAATCAAATCAATCAACGCGCGAATCGGTTTTCGTCGACGCGCGATGGCTGGAGATCGATCCCAAAACATCCACCCAGTCTTTCGCCCTTAGGAGAGGCGGGCCTGAAGAGTATCTAGTTGTGCTCCGTCGGTAGCTAAGCCAAGTCCCGCTGCCGCCGCCGCCTCTCCCAGTCCCTCGGACCCTCTTCCTCTTAGTCGCATCCTTGGACTCCTCGGTCTCAGGAGAAAATGAGGTGATTATCGTTTCTAACCCAGTCGGAGCTCGGACAGGCCTGAGCTTAGATCTGGCTTTCGTTATCTTTATCTTACTAGGGAATGTTCGCCTGGTTTAGGGCCATCACCTTCTGCGTCTTGGGACCCTCGTGTGTCCTCCCCTTCTCGTCCTCCGCCCTCCGCGTCCTTGGTCCCCGTAGGGGGCTTCCTCTCTCTCTCTCTCTCTCTCCTGCCTGCCCGCTGCCTCGCCTCCTCGGGGGTCCCGAAGCGTTGGAGCCTGTGTCCGTTGCCTCAAACCCCCCAGCTTCGCCCCGACCCTACGGCCGTGCCCTGCCTTGAAAGCTCGGGGCCTTTCAGCCGAGGCATGGGGGTTGGCGGGAGCACGAGTGCACTTGGTGCCACACGTGGCGGGAGCCCTCCTCATCATTGCGCCCTCTAGAGGCGAGTCAGCAGCGAGGCAATGACTCCGAAATGTCTCGGTGTCCCAACGTTGTAGCAGGATCAGCTGACACGCCTCTGCAGAGTCGTTTGTTCGTTCGTTCTCCTCCTGCTCCTGCTCCTGCTCCTGCTCCTACTCCTGCTCCTACTCCTGCTCCTCCTCATCCTGATCCTGCTCCTCCTCCTCCTCATCCTGCTCCTCCTGCTCCTCCTGCTGCTCCTCCTGCTCCTCTTCCTCCTCCTCCTCCTCCTCCTCCTCCTCCTCCTCCTCCTCCTCCTACTCCTCTTCCTTTTTCCCCAGCGAACACAAGCACACGATGCCCGTCCATGGGCAAGACCAGACATGCGACATGGGCCTTCCTCCTCCTCGACCCCCCTCCTTCGCTCCCTCTCCTCCTCCACCGAGCGATTCTCCCTCCGCCTCCTCCTCCTCCTCCTCCTCCTCCTGCTCCTCCTCGTTCCTCCTCCTCCTCCTATTCCTGCTCCTCCTGCTCCTCCTGTTCCTCCTCCTCCTGTTCCTCCTGTTCCTCCTCCTCCTCCTACTACTACTCATCCTCCCCCTCCTCCCTCCTTATTCTACTCCTCCCTCGTTGACCTCCCCAGACCACCAAAGTACATGTGTTTCGCGATTCTCGGCCTCTGGGGCTCAGGGCCGTCAAGAAACGACTCAGATAAAGAGGCGGCCCTGTGAACAAGTCCAGACCTCCAGGGCCCCCCCTCGCTCATCGACATCCCGTCCCCCCTTCGGCCTGCTGCTTCGTCTCCCCCCCAAGCCTCCTCTGTCTCCTTCTCCTTCCCCCTTCGCCTCGACCCCCAGGCTCTCCAAGCGCTACTCCAGCCAATATGTTTCCTCCTCCTCCTCCCCTTCCTCTTACCAATCCTAATGGTCCCCCCCTCTCCCTCCTTGATCTCCTCCTCGCCACAGCAGCCGAGGAGACATCCGTGTCAGGGATTCCTCAACCTCGTGTCGGTGACCCATCACCCCGTACGTTATGAAAAGAGCCCCAACGCCATGCAGAAGGGAGGGAGGTGAGGAAGGAGCGGAGCGAATCAAGGTCGAGAGGGAACGATGAGGAGGATGGGGAGGAGGGGGAGGAAGAGGCGGAGGCAGAGGATGAGGAGGAGCAGGAGGAGGAGGAGGAACAGGAGGAGGAGGAGGAGGAGGAAGAGGAGGAGGGGGAGGAGGAAGAGGAGGAGGAGGAACAGGAGGAGGAGGAACAGGAGGAGGAGGAGGAGGAACAGGAGGAGGAACAGGAGGAGGAGGAGGAGGAGGAAAAGGAGGAGGGGGAGGAGGAAGAGAGGGATCAACAGCACTAGAGGCAAGGGACAAATTAGCCGAGTCGAACGAGTCAGCGGGCCCCGCCCATCCCCGCCCGCCGTCCCATAACATAAACAACAACATTGGCACACAAATTAACGACAACTGGGTAGTCGAAGCCAATCTGGCGCCAATCTGGCAGGCCCAATCTGCCAAACGGGGGCAATCTGGCGAGGGAGCCAACGCGAATCCAGTCTGGCGAATAACCCAAATCATCCAGCTTGGCCAGGCCAGATTGGCCCGTGGGGCCCAATCCAATCTGACAGTCTGGCCTTCGACTACCCAGGAAAAGCGCTCCATCCCGGTCCCGCGGGAATCGTTCAACCTTGAACGATGGGCCGTTTCCGAAACGCCACATCGTTGAACATCGATCGATTCTGGGTCGCCGTCGGCGTTCAACGTTGAACTCCGGCGGCGGCGGGGTCGCCGCTGGTCGACACGACATGAACCTAGCGTAACGAAAAGCGCTCCATCCCGGTCCCGCTTCCGACATGGCGAAGGTGAGGGGGGGGGGGGGAACGCGGCCCG